ATGAATTATTTATGATGAAAAGGAGGAACTAATACCTAAATCATTCATAATTATTCAAGAGAAACAAGGTCGATGCCAATCAAACTTCAATTCCTCTCCCCTGCAGACCATGGCGTTTGCCATTTGAGATGATAGATGGAGAGGAGGTTGGCCGGTGTCAGACATTATCCTGACCTCTTCCTCAATCAGTCAATAAAATTACAGGCCTATCAGCCAGAATTACAATCAGGGATGCTGTATGGGGTAAAATTAACTATACAAAGTGCTTGATTGTGGCATACAAATGGACTTCAGATGACTGGACTTAACCTTTAAGGCATCACTAATGCATCATAATTTAATTACTAGAAATTGTTTGCTGAAAGGGAAAAAATTAAATGTTTTGTGAACTATTATTATTGACTATATTTGGGGCTGTTGTTGTTGTGGTCATAGTTTAAATACTCTTTATTTACCACCACATTAAGTGCTGATTCAGACTGATTATTAGGTGCATGATAATCTACTTATCTGGCATTGGCTGTAATCTACTTATTCTCTTATTGTGTGATTAATTCGTAACCAGTATTAAGATATGAACTTAGGAGGTGTAGCACAGTAACTCACACAGTGTAGCCACTATATTTATTTACTCAAGCACCACAGCTTTGTAGACTACAGCTTCTCTGACGCCCTATGAAGACATAGTGAACAAACACCTGTAGAATCAACAGTTCATGTGACCTTTGTCGTTTTTCTAGTGTGAGCTTCACAGGGTTTGTTTGGTTTTGTTTGGTAACTGTAATATATGTGCATCTCTACTTCAGTGCTCACCTTTCATTTTATAATGATGAATATTTTCAATAATCGTTTGACTGATAAAGGAAGAGTATTCTCTTATATCTAAGGAAAAAATAGTAGTGTGGTGCACTCTAATAAAAACGAATTCTCTAAGAAAGAAGGTAATCCTTTGCTCCCATATTTGACACTTGCCAGAAAGACATGCCAACATCATACATCTCAGCTTGTAAGCAATGAACCTAAATATATCCTTCAGTTGGCAGACGTAACAAACCTGCCAAAGGGCATATTTGTACTTTAAAAGGTCCCCTCTCTGCAAATGGTAATGAGAAATACCTCAGGGAGGCCCTGGAAACTGGCATTGGTGCAGGGTTTCTAACACAGTGTGTGCATGTGTGTGTGGGCATGTGTGCTGGTGGGCGTGATGGAAGAAGAGCTGGTTGCAGATAGTCGAGTGGTAAAACCCCCCTGCCTCCCACCTCTGGAAGGAAACAACATATGCTTCCAGTGCCATTGAATTAAATCCTGTCACAGCTTTCTCTCTCCCTCTCTCTCTCTGTCTCCGTCTTCCCCTGTACTTTCCCTCTGTCTGAATATGAAGAATGAAAACAGTAAAAAGGTGAGTGTGCAGCCCACTCTCCCTTTAACCGACTGCAAGTGGAGGTGAGATTAATGGAGGCTCACGCAAGATTGCCGGGAGATCAGCAGAGTCGTGGGGGAGCCAGAGAAGTAAGAGAGTGACTCAGTGAGGCCTGGCTCTGGATCTTCTGCTAATCCACTGGAGCTCCAGCTCCTCTGGTAAAACTACTTGTGATGCCAGTGGGTATCTTTTAAACTATACGCTCAGATGTTATGCTAATATCAGACTGACAGATCACAGGGTCTGTGCTTTTATCAGTGATGATATGTGGTTGTGTGTCATGAGGGAGCAGAGGTCCAGACAGAAATTTGTGTGGCTGAAAAATTTAGAATGTGAACAAAATTCAAAACATTAAATGCGTGACTGATAAGGCAACACCCTATAATACTAGATCATGTCACATCCAACATGTAATATAGTAACTAAGAGCATTTACTCAAGTACTTTCCAGAATTCTCTGCAAAGTACTCATGGGTCTGGTAAAACCGATGAGGGTAAGCAGGTCTACATTAGGGCTGTTTGCCTTGTTTCTCTTTCAATTAACATTGGAGCCAGTAAGGTAGTCGGAAGATACTCCTGCCACAGTTGAAAACTCACAGTTCAAATTCTGTGAGTCATCGCGTTTCGGTCACCACATTTTGTGAAACAAGACAAATTTGCCTCCAATCTGGCATAAAATGGTACGTGAAGAGTAAAATTTGTGGCTGTGAGGACGAGTTAAACTAATTTTTCAGACCAGAATAACAGCTTCTCTCCACTGCGTGTGTTGTAGGAGGTACAAATCAAAAACGGTGGAAAAATAAGGTCATGTAACAAAGAATTTGAACCTGAGAAGAACAGATGATGATAATAGCATATTAGCAAATAACAAGAAATGACAGGTTGCTCCGACCCTCATTGAATATACAACAGTTGCTATAGGAAGACACAGGTCAGATCCCTGAAGAGCTGATTTGCTCATTTGGCAAAACCATATAAAACAAGATTCCCTCAGGTCTTTTATTTCCAGGACGGTAATACTAAAACAATATGTTGCCTTTTTTTCTTAACATTTGAGATTTATTTACCATTATACTTTTTTGTCTTTACTGTTATTGTAGTCCTTTCCCCCCGTCAATTCATAATGTTTAATATATAATGTAAAATGGAAATAATTTTGTCCAAAATGTCTTCGGTAAAAAAGGCAAAGTTTCATATACTTTTACATTTCATAACAACTTGTCAATAACTGTCTGAGGTTGAAACATTATGTTAGCTTTGTGGCCCAAAGGTAAATGTAATTCTTTGTCTTTACTGTTCTTGTTGTCTTTTTTATCTCTCAAATGTAAAATGTAAATAGTTTCTGGCTGTAAAAACAGGCAATGTTTCCTCTCATCACAACTTGCGGATAACATTGCAAGTCAGAGGTTGTAACATGACCTTGGCTTTGCTGCTACCACACACAGTTAATACACCTGACAGTGGAAACAGGTGTTACACCTCGCTACAGTCTTGCTTTCTCCAAGATTATTTCACACCTGATGATATCTGAGCCTGCAGATGTTCTTCCACACTAGCTGGCTGCCATCTGTTATGTTATAATTATGACACTGTAAGCTATTTTGTGTTTCAAGGTTGCACCTCAAAACCTGGAGATAGGGTGCTGAAGACCTCAGTAACACTAAATCAGGTACTGGAAGTTGCACGATAGTTTTACAGAAAATGTTATTCTTTGCACCGCTTCCACTGTATCATTGCTTCTTTTGGGAGGGATAAAGAGAGGGTTTTTAAGCACTATCACAGTCCTGCAGAGGTCTCAAACCTAACAACACAGCAATAAGAATTCACACTATATGGAATTTGAAATGACAGCAGCTGTGGAATATACTCACAGTATTTAACCCTAGTTGCATATAAGCAACATCCTCCACCCCTCTCGAGAAATAAAGCTTTCCAAGACAGTCTTAGACTCCCAAAACCTCTTTGCTTGCCACCTGCAGTCTTCCCCCTGCGGCTTTGGGAAAAGTGCTTCGTCTGAGCCAGGGAGCCCATGGAACAAAGGCTCGGTGTCCTGCCTTCAAGCTATCTACAGTGGAACCCAGAGCATGACTGCAGAGCTGGCAGCGACTTCAAAGATTCCCCACGGAGGAAAGCCCCCCCCCCCGGCATCCAGATGTAAGTTTTCTTGGATACATATTGTACTGCAGGTTATAGCAGAATGAAACTGGCCACTTTTCTCACTACCTGGTGGGGTTTTTTTCCAATCCATTTACTTTTTTAGCTTCTATGTTGTTTCATAATATCAACTGTTATTTCATATCGGCTGTGGTTCTATTTCAAGCCAACACCTTTGAGTTCTTTTTGAACACAGAAAAGAACTCAACACCTTCTCCTTTTCCGAGGCAACAAAGCACACCCTGCACAGTATCATAACAAGCAAATATCTGAGCATGTTAAAGGCAAAGTATTAAATGGATCCACCCATGGGGGAAGCGAGCAAACAAACACAAAGCCAAGATATCCTGAAGAGCAAGAACAAGATGAAACACCTTTTCGACAAAACAAACACTGAGGAGATCATTTGACTCGGAGTGTCCCTCCGGTGCTGAGACTCTGGACGACTTCCTGGGAGGTACCACCACTGTTCCCCATCTTCCCACATATGATACACTGTCAACTAACTCTGACGAGGAGGAGGAAAATGATGACTCATTAGCCGACTGGCAGGACACATACACAGAGAGAGATTTGATCACATTTCCGGGGACAGTTTCCCCCATCAATCTCAGCCTCCACTAGCCTCTCTCACAGCGCTCATAGCCTACATACATACATAGCCTGCAGGCTTTCGCTGTTAAATACATCAACATTGTCACATGGAGAACCTGTTAGTAGTGAGGAATACAGTCTCACCCACCAAACAAGGCAACCTCATATGGCACCACTTCTACCTATCATTTTAAAAATACTCTGATAAACTTAGGGATGTTATATTTTGTGCAGAATGGGCATAGAATTTGGAAAATTTTAATCTTTATATGGAATCAAGTGCGGTTATTCATTCTTTGCCATTGCTTCCCTACCTAATAAGGATGAGACTCAGAAGAATGAGAGAGAGAGGAGAAACCTCTCAAAGGAGACGTCTGACACTTGATCCTCAGCCTTACTCCTTTTTTTTTTTACATCTTGGTGAAACTAAACACAAGTATTAATCCACAATGCATCTCATTTAAGTGAACAGATCAATGTGACATGGAAGATTTAGAAGCAGCGGAAATATACAGTATACTGATGTTTAATGCAATATTTATTACATTTTCCAAGTGTCACTAGTAAGTGTAAATAGTAATTTGGCTTTACAGAATGTAGAATCAAAATAATCTAGACCTATGTCCATCACTAACAGGCTAGTTTTAAGAATGTCACCACGCTATGGCGATTTTTTCTTTTGGCACCATTTCATTACATTCATTTTTCTTACACCAAACGTCTGCCTTAGGTACACGGAATATGTTCTGCACGGACATCTACAGCTACAAAACAAACTCCACCATAAAGAGTGACAATATAAAGCAGTGTTCTGTGGGTGACTTATTAAGACTCAAGTTGATGTTACGGGGAAATTGGATCTAACAATATGCGTCAGTGTCACAAGAGCGAAATCGCTGATGCTCTTCCTTGAGATTGCTGTGATATGGCTCAGTTCTTCCACAACCTGCCACGCATGAAAAGAAGGTAAGTCTACATGAAAAAAAAAAAACTGTTTGTATGGAATATATAATGACTTACTGTACCTAGAGTTTTGACATTTAAAACACAGAGAACAAATAATATTGTAGCTGTGATTAAAATACAGTGTTAATCATATTTCATATAAATCACAAGTGTTTCACCTGTTCCCATTTTTTGACACGGAGGATGAACACAGCCACGGCAATGACACCAACACCAAGAAGCATGCAGTCTTCAGTCACTGTCACAAACGTCTCTCTGGTTTTTAAATAAGGTTACTGCAGTGAATACTGGACTTTTATTCACCAGGTGGCCAGAAACACTTTCAAATGAATGATAATGTTGCTCCATGTATGCTGGATGTATAAATAGGCAACTGTTTGCAAACGTATGTCAATGTTGTGTTCATTGCTTGTTTCTGCTGCCTCCAAGTGGTCACAAAAATGGCTGTACTCATTCATAATTAAATAGCTCTTGGGTAAATGTCTTGCAGGGCGACGAGCCATGAAAAACATGATAGCACAAGACAGAGTTTGAAACCAAAACAGCATTGACAGTTCTCAGCTGCTCACAGTCTACTCAACTGCCAATCAAGCAGCTTGTCCACTCTACCATGGCGGTAATCACCTGTTCCAAAACATCAGAAAACATCTGGGCTTGAAGATAAATGCAATACCTCTGTTCTCTGGATGGGCTGACACTCCGAACGGTACTCTTCAACAAGGTGTCGTAGATGGCAGTCCTCTGCAGGCTGACGAACTGGAGAACGTGGTGGCACAAGTCATACAGGCGGTCCACTGGGCTGGACGGCTCATTATGTCCTACAAAAGTTTTGTCACCACAAATCAGTGCAACATCTAAATAGATACGATTATCTTCACAGAGCCATCTCCATTAATATTTCCCTTTTGTTTTTTTACATCCTAACACTTGATTCTGTGATTATGATCTTACCCAGCACCTCCAGAAGTATTTCCACATATGTCAGAGGATTTGGGGCATTTAGTCTGAATTCAAGCCCTTTCAAGACCATCAGCTCTGATTTCAAGAGAGTCTGCTTGGAAACACTGTGTCCGACCGAATGCAGAAACTGCACTGCAGTATTGTTGTCGATTATCTAAAAATAAAAAATATGGGAGATTATACTGATTTTTGAAATCACAGGGAAATGAAAGTTATTAACGGTAGACATCTCAGAACTTACATGACTGTGCAAAGACAACTTGCTCGCAAGTTGCACACAGGAGAAGACGATGAGCGGGAATTTCCCCTCGATCTTGTCAAAAATAACATCCTCGTAACTTCCTGGCTGATCAGCAGCTGCACCTCGAGGTGTGGGTGTGGTGAGCAAATCTGTGAGGTGCTTGACCATGAACCTGAGGGAGATAATTATACACATAAAGGCTTGTCTGATCCAATCACATGTAAGGTGTAACAGGGAAGCAAATATACTTCTCATTTTTACCTTTGAAGTAATTCAATGGCATGGTATCCAACCAGTGGATCGAGTCTCAGTTCTTTAGCGATCAGGAAGACGTACTCTAAGTTAGAGAACAAAAGCGGAAAAATACTGTTTGAGTGGAGGCATGAGCAAAGCATGTTGGGAAAGAGTTGACGGACCATAATTGGATACAATATACATTTTTAGAGAGGAATTTGTAAGGCAGTGTCATGCGTGCAGTAAAATGGTGGCAGTAAATGTGTTTGGACAATCCTATGTAAAGTTACACAGGGAGAGATGGGATGGGATCAGTAAAATGAAATGTAAGCCATAACTCTCCAAGTATTCACTGTCATTTATGAGCTCTTTGCAGTCATGCTAAATGAACATGTTGGAAATGAAAAACTATAAATATCATTTATCAGGTACAAATCATCAGCTGGATGGTGACATAAAATACCACATAGGCTCAGATGGTCCAATAAAGTAAATCTTAAAAAAGGAATCATTAATCATTAAATTAATATTCATTTTAAATTCTGATTCTCTAGTCTTTATACATATTTTGCGTGAAATAACAGCTAACAGCCATGTACGTAAAACACTGAATCACAACTATGCTGGGTTCTCACCACCACCCACCAGCCTAACACCGGCAGACTGGCTGGTTTTTCTACTGACAAGTCAGTTTGAAAGAAACTAAAGTATTTATTTGGAAATTCCCTCCGTGCTGTGAGAATGGCAGGTTACTTCAAGCCAGCACGTTAAAGAGACAGATAGAACTTATCAAAGAGGTATCCCTGTTAATCTATTTAAATAAATAGTATTTTAGGTGTTATGTGAACTACTAAGAGACATATGCATGTTCATCAGCGGTCATTCAAGCGGCTTTCCATCTGTTCCTCTGCATTGGCAGGGTTTGTCTGCTGAGCTGCTGGCAGCTGGGAGACTGCTACCTGGAGTTTGTTTGAGATTTTGGCCTCCATAATGACAGGGCTCACAATCCCAGGTGTATCAAAGACTCCAGAATAATGACAGTGTACAGTGAGGCTTAGTGGGCCACTCAGAGTTAGTCTCGTACATCTTAGTCAATCCCACCTGCTGAAAAAATTATCAAAACTACCACTGCTGCACTGCAGCTGAAAGAATTACAATATCAAAACACAGAATATTACAGGTCTACTGATAACAGCCTATACTGTAAATGTAAATATATTAGCATCATCCATAAAAGATACAGTGTCAGATTATATTTTACATTTGTAGAGCATATACACTATGTACACTGCATTCAAAGAGTATTCAGACCCCTTCACTTTTTCTTATGTTGCAGCCATATGCTAAAATCATTTAATTTCATTTTTTTCCTCATCAATCCGTCAAAGCAAAAACTGAATTTTAGAATTTTTAGCAAATTTATTGGAATGGAAAATGGCTTGGGTTTTGCTCTGATAAGTTCAGTGCATGTCTTGTTTCCTGTTTTATTGTGAAACACTCACCTCTCTTGTCGTTTCAGTTCCTGCCCTCATGTGTCTCCCCACCCCTTAATCATCCACACCTGTTCCCAATCAGCTTACCTGCCTCTGCTGTTCCCTGTCAGTCCAACCCGTTTATATACTCCTCCTGTTTCCTTTGTCGCTTGCCAGATTGTCCTTGTTAAACCTTGTGTGAACACTGCTTTCCAACAGTCTCCTGGTGTTAGTTCCTATGGTGTGTGACTTAGTATTATTTGTTGTTATTGGTGTTTGGATTTTTGCCTACACCCTGCCTGTTCTTGTTTGCCTGTTTTGCATTTTTTGCAACTGTTCATCACCTCCTGGGTTTTTCTCTGCTTCTAAATCTCTGTTAGTCCCAGAATTGTTACAGTGATGCCCTATATAGACAGGTGTGTGCCTTTCCAAATCATGTCCAATGAAGTGAATTTACCACAGATGGACTCAATCAAGGTGTAGAAACATCTCAAAGATGATCAAAAGGAATGGGAGGCACCTGAGCTAAATTTCAATTGTCATAGCAAAGGCTGTAAATACTTATGTCAATGTGATATTTCAGTTTTTCCTTTTAACCTCCTTTTCCTTTTGATTAGATTAAAAACTAAATTTAAATGATTTTAGCATAAAGCTGCAACATTAAAAAAGTGAAGGGGTATAAATACTTTATGAATTCGTTGTAGATATAACTAAAAAAAATTAAAAGGGAAAAATCATTTGGAAATGAGAAGGTATTGTGCTATCTTGTAACAATAGCTGTAACAATAACTCCATAGAGAAATGTACATATTTTAAATTTGCAGATACCAAGTTGTCGTTGTTCCTCCAAATAAAGGTTATAAAAATGAACCCTTTTGAAAGTGGCCTATGGCATTATGCGCATTTAAAACGGGAAAAATTACTTTTGGAAATAAAAATGTCCAAATTCAATGGCGAAAGAAAGCAATTCACGCAGTTCTACTAACGGTCGTCTCATTAACAGAACAATGACAAGGTTTGTTTGTAAGCAAGATGAAATGACAAAAAATGTACTTACCAACGAGTTTTTTATCTTTGAAGGTCCCGCTACATTTTGATAGCTGGTTGAGGTTATCTTTGTTTCTTTTGTTGAGATTAACAAGAAAATCTGTGAGCAGGTCAAAAGAGACTTCCCCAAACTTGAAACTGTGATTGGGAGAGCAAAACAATCTACTCGCCATTTACAATCACTAACGAACGGCTTCTTTATGCACAAACGTTACAATTACCACCTACCAGGTTTATATTTAAGAATATGTTCACTTTTGTCAAAAACTTAGGTAGAAAACCAAAGGAAAAACGTGTTTAAAGTTTATATTTTCCGGAAGATGGCGCTACATTCCCGAGGTTGTCACCCCAGAGTCGCTCCAACGTCTCCGTGTAGGAACCAAAGCTGCCATGGGGACTCATTTGGATGTTGCACAATTTTGTTCCTGGCTCCTTCTGCCCACCGCAGATCTCGCAACATATGGATGGGCTGCTCACGTGGTAGGTAAACGCCGCCAACTCGGTTAATCATTTGAAATGCAGCTCTGCGTATGACTGTTGTGCAACGACGTCCTTCGCTGACTGCAGATATGGCTGACAAGACACCGAAGGAGTCCGATGCTCCCTTTGCAACCAGAATAGACCCGGCTAAAGAGGGTCTTTCTTCGGAACAGATGCACTTTATCAAGCAGGTAGAGCGTGCACAGTGGAAGAAGAAAACACATCTGCTGCGGGGGCGAAATGCTGTCACAGGGCTCGCCATCGGAGCACTCGTTCTGGGAATCTGTATCCTTGCCAAGCACACTAATGTTAACACAAGGTGAACTATGTAACGTTAGCCTAGCATGCTACAGTCACTCCGTAGTCCTTGGGTTTGAGTTAGATAACTGTGTTTATCACAACATAAACTAACACTTTCGCTAATTTAGCTGCGCAGCTTATATTTCAGACAGTATATTCTTTGTGTGGGGACAGACTGGTTCATTCATTTCACTGAATGCTAACACGACAGATAGCTATGACAGAAAGTTCCTAACTGTAGAGGTGTTTGGAGTGTATTAGCAAATTAAAACACAAATGTCAAGCTTGTAGTATTCGTTATATTACACTATGTTGTTAATTGAGTATACACTTAAACTGTTTTGAAGGTAACTAAGCCGGGGAAGATGAGCTTCCAGGTGCCTTCGCGGTATTACGGACAAACCTGTTTCCTGAACTCAAAGATGCCTGTGAAGGCAGATGTTTGAAACTTGAAAATAACATTTAGCTGTCCAACTCAAGTTTCAATTTAAAAAAAAAAAAGGATAAAATGGGTATCTTGATATTTGAATGATTAAAGACAACATTAAGGCGCAGTGTGTTTAGCCTCTGCTGTTACAAGCAGTGATGACACAAACACCTGGCTGACATGCTGCTTGCATCACTCATTTGTCATGTAATGTGTTATATTATGTTTCTTGCTTCCACTTACTTGCCTTGACCACTTGCTCCCTCCATTAGACGGCTACACATTTTACTCAGTCTCCCAGGAAAAGATCATGGATGAAATAGATGAGGAGGCCAAACGTGCAAGAATGCAGGGACCAAGCACCGGTGCCAACTGAGACGCATGAGTTTCCTGCCTGTTGTTGGACTGTGTGTCTGTCCTGCACTTAACTGAGAAGGGACTTATGTGGACACTAATGCCACTGATTCATATTCCATGGACTGGCCGCTGTTTTTTCATGCTGAGACAGCGCTGGACTTTTTGTTTTGTCATGATTTTGAAGGGTGATTGTGTGGTTTCTGCTGCTGACTTAAAACTAGAAGTGTCTTGATTTTGAATAAACTTGCCTGTCAGTGGAAAGGACTTATCACTGACCTCCACATGATCTTTACATGCTAGCCAAAAGGCCCAGGCTTAATAGTAGTTAGAGTCGTTACCTGACAGGTTTCCAGCCCAGATCATGTGATGTGCATACAGTATGAGGGGAATATACTAACTTTCAGTCAGCAAGTGATGTTAAATCTACAGTGGCCTTTAACAGCAAAGGATGCCAGTGACACTGCTGAAATGACACATGAATCAACCTGTTGAAACATGTTATTTATGTTGAAAAAGTGATGAGTTGTTAAATAAAAATCTACTGTATTTGATTTTTTAACACAATAATGTGTAACTATGTGCAATAAGGATGACATACAAGTAGCGGTATTTACAGTTGCATTTATTTTTTTCAAAATTTGATATACAGAGTCTGATCTAGCCACCAAATCTTAAGAGTAAAAATATAAAATAAGACATTGTAAGGGAAAGGCACAGATTCAGCATGGCAGGACAGCAGCTTCAGAAAGCAATACAATTATATATTTACATTCAAAATTTAGAAATTTCTTTGAATATATATATTACGAATCTTACAGGAGTTCAACTGCCAGAAAATTCAGTGTGTGTTGTGAATATTTTTTTTTTTTAATATAAGGCAACAGCTACAGATTCACAGCTTGGACTGATTTCTCCATATCCCACAATATACTGATTATTTCAAACTGTGGGAGGGTAGATCATCATTACTGTGATCCAATATGAAATATTGTGATCAAACATAAACTGGAGAATATCCTCTACCTCTCTTACGGAAAAATAACAGGAAAACATCTCAGCTCTTCCTCGAGTGAGCACAGTTTTTGTCCACAAATGTGTTAAATGACTGAGAGTTAAAGTAGAATTTGCTAAAGTGCACAAGGTGCTTGATCTATGATCTTGATCTAGCAACAAATATGATTTTTGCTTGAGCAAGAATTAAGGTTGCTGAAATATTTAGTTTACTCTTAACTTGTAAACAAGATCTATAAAAGCACTCTACTATATACACATGTACAAACAACAGGAAAAGCCAGTAGTCTAAAACCTAGGTGGATTTTTCACATCTAATCAATATGAAGAAATACTTTTTTCCCATTTAAAGCCAGCTATAGTATTTGAACATTGACATGATGTTCTCTATGCTTCTGCATAAAAAACTTTTTTTTTTTTCCTGCTGAAGTGAGCTACATGCCAACATTTATAGCTGTTGTACAACGTTTCTTCCTGACGCATTAACATCCCCATGATATCTCCTTATTGTACTGTTGTACAACGTGAAAGATCATCATCTTCACTACATCTGAAAATGTCAGCACTGCAGTCAAACCTCTCCAGGCTGAGTCTAGAGAACGTAAGGTGATCTTATCAGGTGTCAAAACCACTAAAGGAACCGGAGATGTACTACAACAAAATGTTTTGAGAATACAAAGTTGACTAAATCAAACTGACTGCTCTCGTCAGCCCCTTGATGGCAGGAATCGGAGCTCCACTAAATGAGAGTATATTCACCGTGCAGTCAGCAGGTGCCGAGACGTTATTTACAAACTACAGCAAATAAGTTGTGAGATCGTCCGAAGTGTCGTCATCTGTGCCCGACAACTGTCAGTGAGAGTCAGAGCTTGGCTGCGGTTCACATGACTGTGCTCAGATTGATTAAACGGCAGTGAGTCAAACAAGCAGGAAAACAGTAACTGTAGTCATTCTGGGTCAAAGTCGTACAAAGTGACACAACTCTGCAGCACTTCGTATTACACTTGACTGCGTTAATGCAAAAAAAAAAAAAAAGAAGCTTTAAAACAAACTGTGGTGTTTAGCAGGGTACTGTGGCAGCGTGGACTGAAGATGGTTACTTCTGAACCGTTGGGTCAGACAGTTTATGTACAAGAGAGCAAAAAAAAAAAAAAAAAAAAAAACTTGGGAGTTTTAACATGAACCAGACTGGTAAGATATTCTGAGCTTCAGCTGCAACAAATTCACCAAATCTGACAAAGGGCCGAAAACTGGAAGTTACAGTTCCTGTGTAAATCCAGATTTATTGATGACAGTTTCTGTACAGTTGAGGTAAATGACCACCGGCATGAACCTTGTGACCACTCGCGGAGGGAAGCAGTTTTATGCTGATCGGTGTGCCAGTGAAAAGTGTTAAAAGTGATCCTCCTTCAGGACGGGTTTGACCACTGCAGTCACACTTCAGATGAGGTAGTCCAGATACACAGCGTGCTTGGCTGAGCGTTTCTCACTGGAAAAGCGAGATGGAAAAAAACACAAAGTGTAAGACTAAACTGTTTAGCATTTCTGTTGAGTTTCACAAGGGGAATACTATTAATATGAAGTCTGTTTATGCAATGAACACTCACCATTCTATTAATGTCAGTGGCAAAGGTGACCCCTTTGCTAGGTTTATCCTGGGAGCCGCTGCTGCTGCCTCCAAGGGAGTTTCTCCTAATGATACCTAGGAAAACAAACATAGTAAATATGCTACAAAACCCATTTAGATAGAACATATATATATATATATATATATACATATATATATATATATAACCGTCACTTATTTACTATGATATGTTAAATGTGGATGTTCTTCCTCACCTTGGAGTGGCAACATGTCCAAGCGCTGCAGGCTGTTCCTGCGGGATGAGGGGAAACCGCTCCCCTTGGAGAGGCGGCGCTGTCGACTGGACAGCATAGCAGCGGGAGAGACGATGCCTGGAGGAGGAACCTTCCCCATCTTCTCGTACAGCTCCTCGATCTCTCTCTTCTGGGCGGCCTGCAGGGTCTGCACCTCTGTCAGATGTCTGATGAGGGACAAAAAGTAACAAATAAGTTGTTAAAGGTGTCCTGTTGTTGATTGGAAAAATTAAACCAGGCTGCTGTGATCCTTGAAAATCCTCTGAAGCAAGTTGCATAAATTAAAGTCTTAATTTCTTAATATAAGTCTTGTGTTACCCCAAAACATCAAGTCCCATCAAATACAATTGTGAAAGTCATTGCAATTGTGAATTTGAACTCTGTTAATATTCTGTTTCTGGCACCTGATAAGTACAGAAGTATATTTTGAGCATCCTCACTGGTGTCACTTACTTCTCTCTGAGTTCCTGAAGCTCTTCCAGCATTTCTTCACCATCGCTGTCAGAGTCATCGCTGCTCAGGTAGGGAGCGTTGCGGTTGTAAGTCATCATCCATAAATGGTGGAGGGCGTTGCTGTACTGCGGGCTGCCCACCGCTCCATCCCACAGCCTCCCCTCCATCTCAGCAGCCGTCACAGAGAGCCCGCTGTCCGCGGACGTTCCCATCAGGCTGAGGCTGTACGCCCTCCTCCGGCTCCTCTTCCTCGTCCTCTGTCGTTCCCCGACAACCTCTCCCTCATCCTCTTCATCCTCATCTTCATCCTCCTCTCCCCTGTCCTGCTGCTGCTGCTGCTGCTGCTGTTGCTCGTGGCTCCCAGCCCATCCCGGCTGCCCGTCAACCTCCTGGAGGAGCGGTGCCGACCCTCTGTGGGGATGTGGGTGAGGAGGGGACATGGTGAGGGAGGTGCCCAGGCTGGTCTCAGACTCCCCCTGTTCCTCTGTGCTGCTCTCTGTTGGGGTGCTGCCCCCGTCCTCGGGCTGTAGTGCAGCAGGTACAGCACCTATAGGCACAGCGGGCACAGGGATGTCCATACTGGGGGTCACCTGGAATCGCCCAACAGTCACCGGTGCAGACTGGACTTCTGTAATATAAAGAAAGGGTGTTTTTAGAAGATAAAAATCTACGTAAATTACAAGATTAAGTTTCATCCATTGTGCATCCAAAATGTTTTTTTCTCCAAGAAATAGGTTATCTTGGTTAACATCAATGCTGGTAAGTTGTAGTTACTTACTTTTAGTGTCCATATACAAGTTATAGCATCTAGGCAGCTAATTTATATGAGTGACAGCCAATCACTGGCTAAGCAGCAGCGATTGTTCTCTAATCTGATCAGAGCTGATTGATCATTAGGACAAAGCCCCACTCATTCTTGACTAATATGGTTTGATTAAAATCTAATCATGTGTTTCTTGGCTACAGTCTTGAAAGAGGTATCACTCTGTTTTTTTTTTTAGTTTCTTATTTCCTTAAATGCTAATCTCCCAGTAGGTAGATATACCCTAAAGAGCCTTAATTTACAGCAGGGATAGTATCTGATAATTGTGATTGTATCTGATGCATAAACACTCCGCATGCACTCACATCTGCAGACAATTTTAGGGTTTAAAATCCTGCAGTGCCTCAGTATGCCCACTAAGTGTCCTTCTTACAGTAAACACAGAAAGCGTCTGGGACTGTGCCCACTGAAACAGAGGGACTCTGTTAAATGTGGGCTCTTGAGGAGGGTATAAATACTGACAGGTGTGGGATGTGGGAGGAGAGGCCTCTAATGAGCAAGGCCGCTCACTGATTGGTCAGTGTCGGGGGGGAGGGCCGCAATCACACCTACGTTTGTGTTCGTTTTCAATGGAACATTACATCCAGACGGTTATGCAACGCCTCCTGAGGCACCGCCAACAGATGACAATGTCACCAAGGATACGATGGAGAGAAAAAAGCGGCGGTTGAAAACAACTCAAAAGGCAAATTGTCCATAACTGGGACATCAGGCTGTATTTAGACCTAATATATCATAAAATAAAGCAGAGGAGCAAGACTTGTAACTTTTTGCTATGGGTGCATTTGAGTGAATGCACAAGCATGTATGTGGGTTTGTTTTGGGGTGCAAAAATAAACATACAGTATGTCATTTCCCAGCTCTCCCAGCTCCTGGCTAGTAACACGCTTCACACATCAGGGGTTTATGATCCAGAGACGGAGGAGAAACTGTTTTAGGGACATGACAACATGCACAGGGTTTCTTACCAGATTGAGTGGACGAGGCTTTGGGTTTTGGGGTACTGGCATTCATCTCAGGTATAGCCGGGTGCAATTGAGCGCTGAAGGATGATAACTAGACAGGAAGAATGAATATCATTAGCATTAGTGCTGCAGCAGATTGGGTATTGACCCAGATGTTTCTTCGTCAATGTCCTATCACTCATGGCAGGCCATAAAACTTTCCTGGCCTAATTCTATCTCATAAAATGATCCCAAAGAGTTTGACACAGTGCAGTACTCTGATTTTAAATGTGGCTAAAACATAGAACTCGTATTGAACGGTGATCAGCATCTGCAGATACCCAGAGTTTAAATGTAACAGAAAACGTTTTTTCAATTAAATTTTTTCAATTAATTAATTAATTGTCTGTAAGTGAGTCTATAAACCATCTGTTGTGAAAAATTGTGAAAATGTTAACACAGTTTCCCAGATCCCAAGTCGGTGTTTTCAGATGTCATGTTTAGTGAGAGAAAAGGAGCATGGGCTTCACATCTGTGAAGCTGGAACCAGTGAATGTTGATTGGCATTGTTACTTAATAAGTGAGGTGAACAATTAGTCAGTAATCACAATTGTTGATTCATTTTCTGTTGATTAATTGACTAATCACTTTTGCACTAATTTGCATAGACACAACATGGCTTTAAAAACCTTAACAGCTATAGTCCCTGAGATTAAGGAAAATGACTCACAGTGCTTTCGGGGCTCTCTGGGGGTGATGGGGAAAGATCTGATGAGGAGCTGGAACTGGAGACTTGTTGTTTGGGTTTAGTTTGGGCTGGAACCTGTGCTGAGTATGGGGCCACATAACTGTGGAGACTGTCCTCCTGGGTGAGGCACGGGGGAATGGACAGTCCAACCTGTTGCGGGGGCTCCTGAGGAGCCAGTGGAGGAGTGGAAGGCAAGGATGGCGGGGAGACATGGTGCAACCAGCTTGGATGACTGCTCTGAGGAAAACCGGATCCATCCATTTGAGGCGTATTCTCAGGGCTGTGGTAGACGTTGTTCTGTGCTGGGATGCCCACCGTGGGGTAAGGGACTTCTACCGACTGGGTTTGGTACTGGTGTGGGTAGACGGAGGGGTAACCTGACTGTGGGGCCATGTGAGTGGGTAGCTGGGGGTGATAGCCTGGAAAGGAGGGCATCCCCTGGGAGGGCATGCTCGCAGGAGGGATGAAAGACTGGGCCATGCTCATGGCCATGGAGATGACATTAGCCAAGGAAAATAGGGGCTGTGAGTGGGGGGGCCACATGTTGGGATGCTGAGGGGCAGGTGGGGACAGGGTGATGCTCTCGTTGCTGCCGGGGCTTGGGGTCTCATTCTGAGCACTAGGGGACCCTGGGGCAGGGGAGGAAACAGAAGGGAAGGTGGGGTTACTGGCGACACGTGTGAGGGGAGGATGGATTCCTGCTGGCTTGGGGGAACCTGGAGAGCCTGGGTATGGGAACGGGAAGTGAGTGTGGCCCATGTATGGTAGGTTATAGTGCTGGTGGTGGGGCAGGAGGGATGCAGGGTGGTGCTGATAGTGAAGAGGAGACCCTGGAAGACAAACACATATGGATCAACTTGGGTATAAACTGTGGAAAAAGAAACTACTAAAAGTAAAATGTTTCCTAATATCCTCCAATTTGTCCATCAAAACCTGAGAAGTGTAATTTCACAGCCCCCCCTCCCCCCCCCAACTGCAGGGTTGGAGTGGAATATTGGTCTGACACAGAGAGACAAGTTAGATCACTCATTCCTCCTCTCTCCCCTTTCCTTCAACCCCCTGCCAAGACACTCGTCACATGGAGCATAAATCTTTCCCGTCCTTTCAAATAATGGGTTTCCATGGTGAACAAAGACATTTTGTTTAAAGCAGTATCCGGCTATAATTGCATTTGTAAGCCGCAGCACTTGAACACCAGGCTTAACATGGCTGTGAGGGATTCGGCATCAACAGAGCGAGGGAGGCTTTTACTCATGACGCTTTAGAAGGAGTCTAAATGGAACACACGTGTGTGTACACAAGTTTTCGAGCCTGATTGTGAGATTAAAGCAGTCGGGATTTCGACATCACTCCTTGGGGAATAATTTAGGATGCCAATATCCCAGCTCCATCCATTGATTTGACATTTACCTCAACAATGGCTCCACAGTTATAAACCACACCTCCTGTTGCTGATGATGCAAACCAGCCTCTACTTTTTCCAAGCTGACGGAAACATAGGTTAGGCAACACTCTATAAGGGTGGTGGGTGGCCAAGAGGCATTGCGAAAAGCAGCGATCATGCAGTGGACATCCAGCAGAGAGGGGACACAGGACATGTGGGGATGAGGATGTTCAGATGGTCGCTCAGGCTGAAACTGGGGGCGTATGGAGAATATGTGTTCTTTAATTTACTTCAAATGCCCCCCCCCCCCCCCGCCTGTGGGGACGGAGACTTTGACGGGGGAGGAGGTTTTCTTGGAAATTCTGTAGGAGTTTGTGCTGGCAACCAGATGTTGCCGACTATCGCAGCTCTAGAGAAAAGCTGATGGTTTACAGCGACAGCATTCACAGTTCCCTAAAAGCCAGAAAGCGCCCTTCAGGTGAGGTAATTACCCAAGAGGCCCCGCTGCAAGGCAGAGACAGACGAAGGCTTTGAGGTGTGGGGATGGCGGATGGCGCCATGCGAATGTCAGAACAATACCAAAACCGGGCCCTGAGGAGGGGAGGGGTGGTTTATGAGGTAGCTGAGCTGTGCTTTGACTTATTCTTTGCCAGAGGACTGTAACAATTTTTCAGTGTG